GGGAATTCTATCATCATTGCAACTTTTTTTTTTCTTTCAGATTTTTGCCATAGGGTTTGTGTACTTGCTGGAGATAGACTAGAGAGAGTGAAAATAAGAAAGCAGAAAGCACCCTCCAGGGGAATGGCTATGCCACCGTCCTTTCTCCTTCATCCTCTCAGGACCTGGGCCTGCATGGACATGCACCCAGTGTGATTTTCAGGCCACTGGGTCTGAGACTTGAGCCATGGAGTCAGCCATGTGGAATCCAGCACCTTAACCACCGCACTACCTGTTGGCTCTTTTTGCAACTTTTATGTAAAACTAAAATTGTTACAAGATAGTTTTATTAAAAAATAATTTTATGTTTGGCAAGAATTTTCCGAGAATAAATTCCCCTAAAATGTTTGGAGTAATTTTTTTTATTTACAACAAGCATCTAAAAAAGTTTAAAGTTAATTTTCAGCAGTTTGCTGGCTGTAGTCAATCTTCATAGGATGCTTACCTTAACAACATGCCATGCAAATCCACAGAGTAATAAAGCACTCCTGCTGTGAGGATCTTACTGAGATCCTGGAGGAGTTGTAAATGGGTGAAGAGAATTACAGGTCACAGACTTGTACTGTGAAAAGATCTTAGTGTTCTTTTGAAATTTACAGCTCTTGGAAATGCCACCAACAGACCTCCTCTGTCAACCCTCCTTTTGGACATGCCACAGCTTCAGACAGCCACCTCTTTCCTCTGAGGTTAAGCTCGTTTCCCCCTCAACCATATGCAACAACTGGGTGTTGCAGGCGTGTAAAGGCCTAGACCTCTCTCCCCACCCCAGCTCTAAAGGGCCATCCCATCAAAACCTCCTGTAGAGTGTCTGAGGATCTAATGAATCTGCATCCCCACTCAACCTCCTCCCCTGCCCATCCCTCCCTTCCTTTCCCCTGGTGTTGATTCTAAGAGCACTCCTGACAAGGAGACATGGCCTCAGACCTATTGGACCACCGAGACAAGAAACAGGCAATTTTGTCAGGCTGAAGAACAAAGCCTGAAAACACAGTTTTTCACAGGTGTTTTACCACCTAGAGGGAATGGGACATAAAGGATGAAAATAACACCTGAGGACTTAGCCATAGGTGTGTATGTGACTCAAGCTCTTGCTCGGTGACAATGCAAATTTAAAACTTCTCCATATGCTATTTACTTATTCTCTCTCTTCTTTGCTTCCTTTGTCTTCCATCCTTCCATCTCCATTCTTTTCCCTCCCCAGGTCCCATCTGCCATCCATGAGCAAGCCCAGTGTGATCTGAGAAGCACCAAAATGTCCCGATGGTCTGAATATATTTTCCAACTAGTTAGCACATTATTCTCCCTTTTATGCACAAAATCTCACCACCAGAGCCATCCTTTTGGATAATCCAAGTGAGAAGCATGGAGTACCTATTCAGATACATACATTTCTCATGGATAAAAGGGCTCTGAGAACCTTTGCCTATTTTGCTAAGGAGCCTTTGCCTATTCACAAAGATTCTCTCTCTTTTCTCTTTTGGTTTGCTCAGGAAAACACCACTACAGATGAAGCAAATATGTTGAGAAGAGTTGGCAAATAGTTCAGGAAAGTTTCAGTGAGACTGGAGAGTGCTAAATGTCAGCTCAAAATTCCAGGTTTTTGGGGACCAGCAGATGGCAAAATGGTTACATCATTGGACTCTCACTTAGTTGACCATGGTTCAAATCCAGACCTGGACCTTAAAGATCATGCCACACACATGTGTGTGTGCATGCCCCAAATTCCAAGAGGATAATGGAAGAGAAGGGTTGTGGAGTGGTTATTCCCCCTTGGGGGGTGATTTCTCACTTTCTGTCTCTGTCTCTCCAGCAAGTGCATACACCCTATAACAAAAATCTCTCTAAAAAAAAAATCCAGGTATTCTGGGGGTAACCTGCAAGAAAATAAATACCTCCAAAATCAGAGGGGACTGCCCAAGTTGTGGGCACCTCAGAAAAAACTGCCTCCTCCTCAATTTTACCTGCTGTCTGAGTTACTGAAAAACTCAGCTCTCAGCTGTCAGATTAAATGTACTCTTCATACATTGGCTGACTCAGCCTTTGGGTGACATTTTTTATGGTTATGGGGTCTTTATTGTGGGCCCTCCCTTATTTTGGGAATGACCCGTCCCTGGGCCTGTGGCTCCCACTTGTTTAAAAGCTTCCTTCCTTCAGCTCCTTCTTAAGACCCACTGGCTTCTCCTCTGGACTCCATTCTATCTTTCTCTGTTCATTTCTCACCTTTCTTTCTTTCTTTCTTTCTTTCTGTTTTTTTTTTCTTTTAGAGAGAATTTTGGTATAGGGTACATGTGCTCACCAGAGAGACAGAAAGCAAGAACTCAACCCCAGGGGGATAGCTGCCCCACAATCCCTTCCTCACTCTCATCTCAGGATCTTGGGCATGCGTGCACACATGCCTGGAATAAGTTTCACGGCCCCTGGGTCTAGGACTCGAACTGCAGTCAGTCACTTGGGAGTCCAGTGACATAAGCATTATGCCATCTGCTGGTCCCAATTTTTCACATTTCTTGATGCGAAGTGATGAGTTTCTGAGCAAGTGCAGGAGTGGTGGGGACAGAGAGGAGATAAAATGCAAAGATTAGTAGGAGGGTTTTCAGCTAACTCAGTCAGACATGGAGTAGGAAGCAATTGCTAAGCTCCTGTCCTTCCTCAGCCAACCCACCCTTCTCTCAGAGTGTGCAGTCCCTTCTTGAGATCCTGCAGAACTCTCCAATACCCCTCTATGCTATGACTGTGTGAGTGACTACATTTGCTTGGCTGTCTCTCCTCCTGGAATGTGGGTATTCTCTGGTACCTTCCCAACCCAGATATCTGTTACTGGGTAAATAAAGGAATAAATGTTTACAAGAAATGCAAACAACACCGAAGTGAAAGTTGTATATATTTAAAGGGAGCTTTCCCAAGATCCCCAATACTAGTCCAATCAAAGTTCCAGTAACTTCTCTCTGACTACAAGAGAAAGTGAAAACACTTCCTCAACTCCTTGACTTCCTTCCTAGACATCTTTGAAACCTTTCTTTACTAATAACCAGTAATGCGCTGCTTAGCGACTGTTCTACTCATGTTCATTTGGACCCTTAAGCAAAGCCTGAAGATCAGTGCCATTACCAGTTAGAGATTTAGATATGGAATGGATCAAGCAGATAGAGTGGCTGCTAGAAAGAATGGGTTGAGGAACGGATTAACTACACCTGCAGTGAACCCTTAGCTCCACTAGGGTGAGTGGGTTCCTCTTCATCTCCCGAGATGCCCCCACCCCTTCTGGGCACATCCCAGTGTCTGCTCAAGCCCTTTCCCACCCTATAATCAACAGCGCACCTGTGCACCAATTCCTGCAGAGCATTCATACTGTGTCACACACTGTGGTTCTTTCAATGTCACCCAAATGATCACTTGTTAAAATACCCTAAGACTCCAGCTAGACCGTAAGTCCTAGGAGGGCAAGAATTGTGCATTTTTATCTTTATATCTCTTCCTCTACTATTCCTTTCACAGTGCTTTACATAGAAGATTCCCAAGAAACACAACATTTTTATGTATCCTGTTAGAAAAGATCTGGCTTTACTGTCACCAGCTTAATGGGAACCATTCCTTTTCCCAAGTTCGGATAATGTACTCTAGGGATCTAAACCCGTGACCCTGGGTCATCTACCCTTCTTGTTTAGAAAATGTGCCCCTTCCTGGGATGGGGCCTGAGGAGGAGGCGCTCCTAGCACCTCACCCTTTTAGCGTTCATGTTTGTTTAAATTACTGAGTGGTTTGGACACCACCGCAAGAATATTTTTTTCCATCTTATGACATATTTCCCCCCATCCTGAATGTAAATGGTGTGACCAATCAATTTTTCTGAAAAGACATAATCCTCATATCCAACTCGTTTCATTTTTATACATAAGTTCCTGTACTGCAGCCTGTTGGATGAAGCACATAGACAACATGCAGAATCTTTAAAATGAAAGGCATGCATGCCTTATCCAGCCCAGCCCTCTGCCCCAAGAAAGAATGTTGCTAGCTATCCCTTGAGGAAAGGAGTCAGACCCCTAAAATTCAGGGGGTTGGGGAGGGACTAGAAATCCTTTCTGCCAGGCTCTAGACAGCATGACATGTCTCCAATAGCCTAACTTCCCTCTCTGATCAACTGTCAAAACCACGTCATCTCTGAGTGGTGACCCAAAGTCCCCAAATGACAATACTATTGCAGGGTGACAGGTTTTTCTGTCGAGTCTGATCATGAGCCGGCAGCAACCTCATGCTGACAGTCACTCCAGATGAGCGTTTTTTCTGTATTTCACTTGCAGCCCCAAACCAGGAAGTGCTATTTAAGATGAGCCCAAGACAAAAGCAATCCAACCTCAGAAGCAAAACCCGCTGGACTGCAGAAAGGCTATTGGGAAGCTCAAGCTTAAGACAGGCTGTCTGGTTACATTGGAACCTGCTTCTTCCTCCCCATAAACCGGTAGAAAACTTTCAAAATTGCTTAAAAAAAAGAGAAAAGGCAAAATGACCGAAAACATACACGGGCGGCTGTATGCACGAACCAATTTGTTTTTGTGATCTGCTTCCTTATCTGGACAGTTCAGGCTTGGGCCAGATTTGAGTTAATATAGTCTCTCAGCTAAACCAGGGCAAACTGCAGAAAAAGTGGCTAATTCTTTAGATTCTTAGGGGGCAGGGTCGAGGCTTAAATGGGCCACGCCCGGTCCGCTCTCCCGTTGCACAACCGCAAAATACGCCTGGGCAGGCCGAAGCAGGAACCCTGCAAACCTCTAGCACCCCCTCTTTCTGACCCACGAGAAACCGAACGGTCCTGGGGGCCGGGGAAGACCTTTGGGTGCAGATTGGGCTGAGGGTATCAAGTTTCAGGCTGGAAGCCCGGGACAGCTACGCAGGGGCTGCAGCAAACAGCGGGCAGGAAGGGGAGGGCCCTGCCAGGCGAGGGGGAGCCCCGGCGCAGGCTTGGGGTTGGGTCGGAAAAGCTGCCTCACGGGCTCTCCCGTTGGCCCCTTGGCTGCCCCCTCCTTTCCTCCCTCCCAGTGCTCCCCGCCCCGGCCTCCCCTCCAGTCTCGGCTGTGCCTTCCCGGAGGCAGCGCCCGCAGCGGCCTCACCCTGTCCCAGCCGGGCCAGAAGCCCGCCGCCTCCCCGCGGCCCCGGCGCGCAGCTGCCCGCCACACCCAGGAGGTGAGTGGCATTCCAAGCCAAGCCGCAGGGCTGGGCGACAGAGGGACCCTCGTCCTGGAGCCTCGGGCTGCCTTTCTGGGCGTTGCCGGGCCGGCCCAGACTGTCCCGTGCGCACCTCTCGGGCCGGGAAAGGACTCCGGGATCAGTGCTTGCTGCCAGGCAGGTGGCCCTAGGTGACAGGGGATTCCGGGGCCTGGGTCAAGTGCTCTGGGCGTGGCGCGAGCCAGATAGGGGAAGGGGAGGACGTCGAGAAAAGTTGGAGTGAGAAATGGGTGAAACGAAGGTGCGCCAAAGCGGGGACAGAGCTCATCCAGGACCCGGAGGATGAACAGGGTCGTTTCACTGGACGGAGAGATCCAGCGTCCAGAGTGAAGTTGGCCGCAGGGCGTGGCTGCCAGCAGAAATGTCACCTCTTCTCCAACTAGCCCGGAGCCTAATAACGAAGGGTGGGACAAGGTTGGTGGGGGCGGGGACTGAGAAGAGCCCCGCCTCCACGTGCCCGCCCACCTGGCAGCGCGAGATGAGCAGAACTCGGTGCCATCCAGGTCCCAGGCAGGCAGAGCGTGAGCCCAACGCCCCCAGCACTGCACCTCGCACCTTCTCCGGGTCGTACCTGCGCGGATCCGACCCAGCTCCCTTTCGCCATGGCATTCGCGAGCTGGTGGTACAAGACGGTAAATAGGAGCGCTCATGCCTGAGCAGGACCAGGAAGGGACTGCGTTTGCTTTGCTTTGCCCTTTGGGGCGTGCGAACGAAGTATTGTCTGAGGCTTGGCTGGGAAGGGGTGGGGGCCGAGTTCAAACCTCCTTGCAGACACCCGGGTTCGGCTCCCAGAGAGACCGAGGACTCACCCTCCTGTGGTATGTGCGAGCGCGCCCAGGCGTGCCAGTCAGTGCGACCAGATGCACCAGGCTCAGCTCCTGCTCACAAGTGCATGTACAGGAATTGTTGCTGGAGGGATCAAGCCCCTGGGGCAGGTTTCTGGATGAACTCCAAAGCAAACTCGCAAGAGCTCAGATCTAGCGTTTGTTTTTAAGTACTAAGTGGAGCTCCAAACTTTTAGAGGAAAGTTGGGCGCTCATTCTCCAACGCCAAGAAAAGGCAGCGAGGATGTCGGGCAAGGAGAAAGCCCAAAACACCCAGGAGAGGAAGCAGCTGAAATCCAGGGGTTGTGTGGGGAGAGAGAGGGAGAGAGAGATGGGCCTGTACTTTGTTACGTTGACTGCTGGACACAGATGTGCTGTTTAGTGCGTTGTATCTGGCTTACCAACGGGTGTGATATCCAGTCAAGTTGGCACTTGTAATGTTTTGGAACCAGGAAGTGTGATTAATATTAGACTGCTTTTTTAAAAAAAATATAGAAAGTTTTGTTGACATAGTCAAAATATTTATGTCTCATTAACTTATGATGAGAATTGCAAAAAAATTGAGTTGGGTACAGCTCTCTCCCAACATTGTTTTTGGGAAAACAAAGATGTAATCGCTCCTCGGAACTGGAAACCTTGTGTTGGAATTGGAACTGTTATTATACTTAACAGGCATGGGACATTTATTGAGCACCTACTGTGTGCCTCCAAGTAGTCAGTGAAGAACAACTTAGAGTTCTTTTGAAATGGCAAAGAGTTTTTTTGAACCTGTTTCCAATCTGTAAAATAGGGCTGATATGTACTACATAAGGTTTGGGGAGCACTCATTAGGTTAATAAAGCAAGACGCTATATAATTTACTTTTAATGACTGGGAATTCCAATTTTCCTTGTCATATTTCTTAAAGAATGTTTTTTGCCACATTTTCTAGGCTTTACAAAGGTAGCATTTTATTGATGTGCTAAAAGCAAAAGTTTGCTTTGAGTCATTATCGTCCCAAAGTTGTTATCAAAACGCCCATGTGGATTATCTGTAAATATGGACGATAGTGGTTCAAAGTTGACATCAGACTTCTTTTTCCAAACTCATGATTCACTAGAGGAAATTATGCAAGATGACTGGATGAAAATAGTTTAAATCTATGCTTTTAACCTTGCTATGTTTAGGCATAGTCCGACATTTTTGCTAAAGCTCTCCTAGACCCCAATCTTGGAACTAGAACACCTTTTTTCTAGTAGGGACCACCTAGAATCAGCAATATGCCTGTGATCAAGCTTTTTTCCTAGAACAGTGTTGTCCCATGGAAATACAGTATGAGCTACATATGCAGCTGTAAATTTTCTAGTAGCCATTTTAACAGAAGCAAAAAAGCAAAGGTTTAAATTAGTGCTAATAATAGTTTTTATTTATCCCATATATTAGGATTTCAATGTGTGGTCAGTGTACAAACCATTGAGATATTCCACATTCCTTTTTTCATATTAACTCTTCAAAATTCAGTGTGTATTTTGCACTCACAACACATTTTATTTCACAATTCCCAAATTTCAGGTGTTTGTCAAGTGACCAGTGGCTATAGTATTAAACAGTACAGTTCTAGATCATAGGTTCCTATTTTATTTTATTTTTTTTTTAGTGATGGGTAGGTGATGGAATATTTTGAGAACCAAAACCAAGTTATAGACCATTTTCCCACAATAAAATACATAAACATATACTCAAATGTAATTTTTCATACAATGTCAAGGAGTCCAGCAATTTTCCAGAAGCCCACCCATAAATCCCCCAAAGGTCTATGGAACAACTTGTTCATAACATATATGTATATGTTATATATATACACATATATATGTAATATAAATACACATATGCAATAATGCTGTATGTATATATACTTATATTTTATATATAATGCATGTATGTGTATATAATATACATATAGGTTTATGTCAATTTTTGTGTCTATATATCTATAGACTATTAGTGCCCACATATACACATAAAGATACACACACATACACCTCAGAATACTTCTGGTAAGTTCTAAAATTAAAGTATCTTTACTGGGATCCTTAACTACTGAAAAATGTTGTGAATGACCACTATGTCAAAATTTAGGCAGAATGAAAAATAATTTTAATTTTAAAAAGTTTAAGAACATGACCTGTAAAACCAGTCTGTGAAACATTGCAGTGTTGAAGTCAGCCTGGTTGCCTAATGGTTGAGGGAAATGGATCCCACATGGCCAACTTCAGTTCAGATCCTAGCCCCAGTGATGGAAGAACATGCCAATTACATATGCATGTGTGCCCTGAATTCCAAGAGGATATAGAAATGGAGGAGAAGGGATTGCAGCGTGATCACGCCCCATTGGGAAATACATTTTCCCTCTCTCTGTGTCTTTCCATGTCTCTTTGGTAAGTGTGCATGTCCACTGTCAATTTAAAAAAATAAGAACGATTACACTATATATTCCCATACTGAATACCATCCATAGTATTGCACTTCTTTTTGAAAAATCATATAGTTGTAGGGAACACACACATACAACATTTAAAAAGCTTGATTTGGAGAACATCTAATGAACATGGTAATGATCAAACATGAAGGAGAATAAATTTTGACTCTCATCAGTAATCACCTTCCTGACTCATAAGCTAATTCTATTAGGCCATGCTAATTAAAGGTGTTTCTTAGCCTAATTAGCCCCATGGATCAGTTAAAGCATGATGAAGGAACCCCATCATTTGGGAGGTCCCCTCATTGCAGCCAGCCTGGGAAGAGTCACAAGTCTTCCATGGCAGGCACTCCACTTGACTGCAGTGAACTGTAATAGTAAAGAAAGCAAAGTTACTGAGCCTGCCAAAAGGGGGCAGTCTTCAGGTCAGTAGAAAACAGAGGTCTTTCCTGAAGCATTCCATATTTTTGAGGGTCTGAGGAAGGACATTTAGAAGAAAAATAGGGAGGCAAAACATTAATGGCACGAAGGAATGTGGTATTATCTGTTGAAGATCTTTTGTAGCTTTATCAACTGTACTAGGGAGAAATGTTCACCTGTCGAAATATCCATTCTGTAAACCAAATAATAATGTGATTGAATATATAAAAGAAAATGAAAGAACGAAAGAAAGAAAAAAAGAGAGAAAGAAGGAAAGAAAGAGAAAGAAAATAGAGGTCAAATGTAGCTTTCCTCTTTTGGCTGGCGATCCCTGGCTTAGTTTGTTTCCCATTACATATAAGTTTTCAAACTAAGAATACCATCCAATGATATTGTTGCTTAGAGAGTTTTGACACTTCCCAGAAAGTTAATTACATCCTACAAGTGCTTTTTAAAGAATGATGTAGAACTCTTCCAGTGGAAACTGTGAGTGGTTGTTGGAGCTTTCTAGGCAGATAGGTAGGTAATTAGTTGTGAGGAGATTGTCTCAGTAGATACAAGACTGCTGGAAGCAAGCTTTTTTTTTTTTTTTTTGATATAGAAATTTTTCTTTTTGAGGGGGGAAGGTTTTTGCTATAGGGCGTGTTCACTCGCCAGAAAGCAAGAAATCACCCCCCAGGGGGGATGGCCACACCATAATCCTTTCTCCTCCATTCCCCTCTCAGGATCTTGGGCATGCACGCACATGCCCCCGGTGTGAGTTTAAGCCACCGACCGGGTCTGGGACTACATGGGAGTCCAGTGGCATAGCCATTACACTAACTGCTGGTCCCTGGGTATTGAAATTTTTAATGTAAATATACCACTAATGTGATACTGTGAGGAGACTTTAAAAGTTTGTAGAAACTTGGAATTAAAATACGAGTTTATGGGACCAGCAGTTAGCGTAATGGCTATGTCGCTAGACTCCCATGTAGTCGACTGCAGTTTGAGTCCTGGACCCAGTGGCTTAAAACTCAAGCCGGACGTGTGTGCATGCGTGCCCAAGATCCCGAGAGGAGAATGGAGGAGAAGGGATTGCGGTGTGGCCATCCTCCCTAGGGGGTGATTTATCGCTTTCTGTCTCTCTGTCTCTCTCTGTCTGTCTGGCGAGCTCACGCAGCCTATGGCAAAAACCTCTCAAAAAAAAAAATACGAGTTTATTTTGGAACAAAATATGAGTAGTTTTTACATCATACACATTTTATTTGAACTTT